TTTTTTTTTCGTGTGAAGAATATTCATAACCATATATAATTGTCATTTCTTTTGAGTTTTGCCCATGTAATAGCTACTTTATCACTACTGAATACGTCCTCCGTAATGGAAGAAGAACTGTAATCAATATCATCTCCTCCAAAATTTTCAAATGGCACCTGCAATATATTACGATGTTAATAATTTTACAAGATAATCAGTATTAATTTATAACATAAAAATTTCTACGTTCTAACATAAGATAATCAATTCTAATTTATAACATAACAATTTCTAAGTTCCAACATTATAATAATAAATTCTGATTTATAAGATAATCAATTCTAACTTATAACATAATAATTTATAATTTCTAACATAATAATAAATTATAATTTATAATATAAAAATTTCTATTAACATAATTTCTTTCATAAATAAAATTAACTAATTAAAAAAAAAATGGCGCCGGCCGAATCACCGCCGACCAACCGACGATTGCGGCCGCTCAATCGCGACCAACCAGCTAGGTAGGGGTGAGCATGGTGCGGTTCGGTGCAAAACCGCACCGAACCGCAAAAAACCGAAAACCGAATTTTTTCATTTACCCAAACCGAACCGCACCGAAACATGTAGAAAAACCGAACCGAAACCGCACCGAAATTTTCAGTTCGGTGCGGTTCGGTTTCGGTTAACCGCAAATTTTAAAAAAAAAAATAATAAAAAAAATGAAGCTACATCATCATCATCTAATGTGCAACATTACCAAACCAAAAGCCCAAAATTCTTTTAAAAAACTAAGGCAAGAAATTAGATTTAACGTAATGTTATTAATTTTTAATTGTTATTGTTATTATTTATTACTCTACTTATTTATTGTTAATGTTAGTCATCTTAAACCAAAGGCCTAAAATGAGCATGTATATTTACAATACAAACATGTCAACATATTTCATATTTAAAACAAAAAAAAAAACTATATTCGGTGCGGTTCGATTAAAACCGCATCATTCGGACAAAAAACCGAACCGCACCGAAACTTGTGCGGTTTTCCAAAAGTTAAACCGTACCGAAAACCGAACCTTAAAAAACCGAACCGAACCGCACCGAATACATCGGTTCGGTTTGGTTTTCAGTTTCGGCTCGGTTTTTCTCACCCCTAAAAGTAGGTACTAATTGACTAAAAACAGGTACTACGCAGAAAAAAGAAGCGGTACTATTTCTGTCAAAACTGGTACCAGTTTGTAATCGTGATTTCTTCAATTCTCCAGGTCTACCATGTCACGTGGATCATTCACGCGTGATTTGGTTGAAAAATAGTGGAAGTTAAAACATATAATTAGAATTTGGAGTAGTCATGTATGATCATTCAATGAGATGGAGTGTGTCTTTTAATAAGATGAAATGTATTAGTAGTGTTTTTCATTCGTGTGTTGAGTTCGTGACCAATTTGCGATTAAACTTAATTAAACACATTTTAACTCTCATAGAAACTAATGTGAGAGTGATAATGGGTCATATAAACATCATTAGTGTTTTTTAAGTTCGTAGATCGAACCCATATGAAGTTTTACCATGAGCCGCTTGTATCATACTTCTGTTTTTTTTATTTCTTAGCTTAAACATAAGGTTTTTCTTCTACTAATGAATCATAAGTACCTATCTAATTTATTTATAGATCTTTGTGATCTTTCCACCCGTATCATGCTCACATGCTCTCCTCATGTTCAATAAAAGACAAACTAATTCATTGCATTTATTTTACACCTTTGACCCCACTCCGTTTGTCTCAAAAAGAATCAAAAATTTGGAACCGCTACTCAACAGTTACACCTACTTGCTCAACACTATACTTGGAGTTTACGCGACAAGCAAGACGGCACTAGCAAGTTCGGAGTTGGTACGAACGACTTGATATCTGGTACTAAAACACCATAAAGCTGGTACTATCTTACTCTAGGTCTGGTACTAATTTTGAAAATGTTGACCAAATTTGAAGTGATTTATTTTTTGTTCTTTCTACAAAGTAGCTACTAATTGATCAGTAACTAGTACTGCATAGAATAAAAAGTGATACTTTTTGTCGAAAAACATGTACCATTTTACAAAATTCCTTTTTTTTTTTATGTTCATCGGAGTTGGTACTGAAGACCCAATATCTGATACTAGAACACCATAATTGTGGTACTATATCTTACTCTAGGTCTGGTACTAATATTGAAAATGTTAACCAAAATTGAAGTTATTCATTTTTTGGTACTATTTGTTTTAAAACTGGTACAATTTACTAAACATAACTTAAAACTTTCACTTCAATTTTTTTTTATACAAAGTAGGTACTAATTACTATAAAAGGAGTACAATATGGCATAAGGTTGGTACTAATATTAAAAAAGTGGTATCAGTTTCTAAAACATAACTTCCTCAAGAAAACTAGTATTATCTTCTCAAAATTCATCAACAAATGTACCTTACAAACCAATAAGAAAAAACTGAACAAAATCAAGAAAATCTCCAAAAAAAAAAAAAAGTCCTCTAATCATCCTATAATATATGCATTGACATTAAAATACAAATTTCCTCTATGTTATTTTAAAACCAATGAATTTCTCAGTTTCACCATCTTCCTCAGTTTCTCAAACCTCAGATCCTGTAGAAACTGAGCAATCAGCAAACGTTCATGCCTCTAGCCGAATAAAATTCCCCTTCTCATTAAAAGATTCATATTCATTAAAAAATACATCGTCCTTTTGAATAAAATAAAATAAAATAATACCGCCAGACCTGGCCGAGTCCCTCCAAAAATTCATGTCAACTCTCGAGGCCAAGAATCCCCCTCGACAGCACAAAGAGCTTAGCTTCCGCTTCTGCAGCTGCTGCAGCATTCACATCATTCTCATTATCCTCCCCACTACCATCAATCCCCCTCGTCTCGACCACCGGGTCATTGTAATAACAACAAATGTCAACGCTACTGTTGATATACAAATGCGGGACCCGCTTCTTTTCTTCTTTGCCTGCCCGACCACCTCAACACACGACCTGTTTCATCATTACCACCCATGTGCAGCATTGATTGGACCTTCCTCCATGCCTTCCCAGCCTTCTCCCCCACGGCCCTCACTCCTGTAGCTAAAGAAATCGAAGGTGGGTTGAAAATGTGAGCCTCCACACACACACCTTCCTTAGCCAATTCTTTCCCGACCTGAAGCGCAAAACCGACACCCAACGAGTGCCCGGCCACACACACGTTATTGCTCTCGTACCTTACGGAAATTTCTTTCAACGCTTTTAGCGCGCGTTCGAATCTCACGGACCCTTTCAAGCTCTCCCACGTCAAGAACCGGAGATCATCCTTGATGTCTCGTCCAATGGTGGGACCCTTCAAGAGAGTTCCGCGGAGGGCTAAGACAGCCCGTGGGGCACCGCTCGGCCTCAGGAGAACGAAGTCCGATAAGGCAGCCGTGCGGTCCCACTCGAGTATGGCGTCGGATATAGAGTTGTGAGTTTCTTGGTACAATTCCTGGGTCTCGGGTTGAAGTCAGAAGCAAAAGCACTAAAACCTATCAGAATCAGTCACGACATTAGATAGTGATTAAATATAGTTCTATATGTAGATTGTAATTATAGACTAACATTAGACAGAGATTAAATATAATTGAAAAACAAAGAGTTAAAAGATCCAATAATCACACATGAACATGAATGCGTAAATACTTCTGGAACAAGTTGTGGCAGCCATATCAAATGATCCTTGTAATCTACAGTTTTTGAAAGTTATAAAGGACATATCTCCTGCCGGTCGAGCTCGAGGAGGTAGACAACTTGTATGAAGCAAGCTATTACAGCCTTTTGTAGTTTGGGTCCTTCCTGTTGAATTAAGAGATGACCATCCATTTATAATCTCATCAAGGACACCTACTCACCAACAAGTCACAATCCAACAAGAAATTCTGGATAAATAGTTGAAGCAGGAAAAATCAATTATTTCTAATGCTAACAAACTAGCTATGTATAAAGTATAAAAAACCCCATTTCCCCTTTGCCAGTTGAATCTGTAAAGGAACATACTTTGCTCTCCAAATTGTATCATTTTTTAATTTTACTGTCTTGGCTAACCAAAAGAATAAAAAGAGATTTTATTCAATAGGCAAGAAACAGAGCCTACCATAATGAGAATTGCTACAATCCCAAACAAAAATTTCAAGCGCACATTCTGATCAACTGATGAACAGAAAAAGGCTAGCTATGAACAAGTGATTCATACAAAGAACATAAGCCCAACAACACAAATCAACATCATTATAGTAAGGAGTCGAGTCGAGTCGAGTCGAGTCGATCAAGATTGTGTGGCTCACTCGAATTTGACAAATTTCGTCTAACAAATCAAGATGTAATATCGAATCCTAATTAGGTGATTAAGTGCAAACATATATATGTAATATAGCTAAAGCAGGCGGCAATCCCTCCTTATGACGAAAATCCCATCCTACGGCCAATGGCTACGGTCGTGCTCTCAAAGTGCATCCAATCGATCTGCAGCCCCTCGCCACTTTTCCACACAAATTACCTCACTTTCCTCCACCATTATTTCTCTCATCGGACCACCAAAAATCTACACACTAGCCGCCGCCGCCGCCCCTCCGCCTCGAAGAAAAATCCATTCATGGACCAGGTGGTGGCTAAAATTTCAACAATTTCGTGTTGTCCCCGCCGATGGGCCTGACGGAGAATCACTCACCGACGATTGATATTTGGGGTTAGATTTTTCAAGAATTTGGGGATCTTGAGACGAGGTGTTTTTGTTTTCTTTTTTATAATATTTTTCAGTTTTGGTGAGGTAGGAATAAAATTAAATGACAAATAATAATAAGTATATATATATGGGGAGTTGGGAGGAAAGAGATAAATGTATTAGGGAGTGCAGAGGGCAAACAATTGCATTAGGGACTGACAAGGAACTTCAATTATGGATTGGGGAGTTTTGAGGAATTATCCGTTAATTTTATCTAAATTGCAATTTAGTTCTTAGGGTCAAATCTATAACTTAACTAAAATTTAAAGAGTTTTGATATAGTTCAATTTAGCCCATGTGCAAAATTTGTAATTTATAAAAAATATATAAAAAGTAATATTTTCTATATAATTTTTTTATACTTTTATACACATGTATATCTCATTTTTTTTCAACCAAAAATAATACAAAACATTAAAATAGTAAATATATTTTTATACAAATAGTTGCGCTTCGATTGCACATTTATTTTAGACAAAATGCACATCAGTGACTATCAGATTGCACTATAGCAGTGGAAACGGACACACAAAGTTTTGGATTTGAATTTTATATTTTAGTTCGATTATTTGTGTTTACTTTTAAAATTTAGATTATCTTGGTGCGATGTCGACTTTATAGTTTAATAGAACTAAACCAGTTGAGCTATATAAAAAATATTACTTTGTAAATATTGTTTAACATAACCAAAACGATCGACTATTTATTGTGTTTTTTATAATTGGATAAATTTGAAGGGCCTATGTGTAATTTTAAATAATTTATTGTTTTTGATTTAACACATGGACCAAATCTTTAATTTATAAAATTATATAAAGAACTATTATCTCTTATATTTTTTATGCATGTATTTATTAAATATTTTTCAAACAAAAATAATATAAAATGTTAAATAGACATATTAAGGTACACAATATATTTTTTTTTCAACCAAGAAAACTTAAATATGTATATTTATATATAAATAATAGATTATTTCAATTGTTTCAATAATAAATTTAGGGATTTAGTGTTTCATTGACTTAAAAAATATATATGTAAAAATTATATATATGTATATTTTTTTTTTTTTTAATTTAGCTCATGACCAAAATATGTAATTTGTAGCAATATTTTCATAAATGCATATTAATGAAAAATAAAGTGTACAATGTTTAAAAATTCTAATATGTAAAATTTTAATACATAAAAATATTAAAATAATAAATATATTTTTATAATAACAAATAATAATTTATTTTAATTATTTAGGTTAATTCGATGTAAAATTATATTTATTAAATTTAGTTTTCAAAAACACATAATTTATGTGATCATCATATAAAGTAATGCACTTTATATATCAATACGCTGCACTTTAAAAAACAATAAGTTGCACTTAATAAAACAACACGTTGTACTTTATCACCACGCTGCACAATCAACGTCAACAACTACTGCCAAAAATACTACACAATATAAATCTTAAAAAATAGATATATGGGAATTTTAACATCACTCACATCATTTATCCAAACAATACACAAGCATACTAACGTACCAAAACTACAATAGTTCAATTTATACATCAAAATGTTGCACTTTATAAAACAACACGTTGCACTTTATAAAACAACAATATGCACTTTATCACAACTATCTTATTACATTGCACTTTATAAAACAACACGTTGCACTTTATAAAACCCAAGCATACTAACGTACCAAAACTACAATAGTTCAATTTATACATCAAAACGCTGCTCTTTATAAAAAAACACGTTGCACTTTATAAAACAACAATATGCACTTTATCACAACTATCGTATTACATTACACTTTATAAAACAACATGTTGGACTTTATAAAACCACAATATGCACTTTATCACAAATATCGTACTACATTGCACTTTATAAAACAACACGTTGCACTTTATAAAACCACAATATGCACTTTATCACAACTATGATATTACAGTAGATTGCCCAGTAGAGATCCAAACCGACCGAACTCAAAAATTTTCAATAAAAAAATAATATAAATTTTTAGATTTCCGTTCAGTTATAAATTTTTACATTACAAAACTCAAAATCCCAATTACATGTACAACATATAAAACTTACAAAATTGCAAAATAGATCTCTCATATTTCTCTAATTCCAAAACATAGACCCACAAATTAACGATCACACTGTAACGCAAAATTTCGTATTATTGAATTAATAAACACGAGAACTTCGTACAAATG